AAATCAGTGATGTGGTCACAGAATGCCACAATGGGTTGCAAAGCTGAACTGCCCAAGATTCAGTCACATGACTGTGTGATGTGTGTGATGTGATCATTTATGACAGCCAGGAGTGCTCTACAGGTCATAAACTACCTATTTTGTTTCTGTCATAACTTTGAAAGGTCAAAAATAACTGTTGTAAGTCAGGGACTCCTTTAGCCAGTTGTGACTTGATCAATAAATTACAATTTTTCAAGTATATTTTCTTTAAGAGAATTTTAAAAAGGGCTGGAATTTTAGGTCAAGTTTTAAGTTTCTACCCTATAAAAAGCAGTGGATTTCACACATTTTATTTTTGGCAAGGATAAAGTTTCTGGTATTAAATAGAGATCTATGGTTAAATATATTACCAGATAATACCAGCTTATACAATGTTTATTTCTAAGCAAGCATACAGAGGATAATTTTTTTAATCATGTTAGATTATTATTTCAGAGTACAGCAATATCACTATTAAACACAAGATGGTGTCTCATCCTTTGCTATGAATAGTGAAGTTTCTCATAAGGGGAAAAAAAAAAGGACCTGTGTCAATGAAGATTGAGAGCCAGTTTGTTGTAGTGTTCAGGGTCAGACTAGAAACCAGGGGATGGTGAGTTTAGTCCTGCCTAGGCACAAAGCCAGATGGGTGACCTTGGACCAGTCACATTCTCTCAGCCCTAGGAAGGAGGCAATTGTAAACCACTTCTTAAAAACCTTGCCGAGAAAACTGCAGGGACTTGTCCAGGTAGAATCCAAGAATCAGACCCAATTGAGTGGAAAATAGGTTGCTGTTTTTCAAAATAATCCATCTTCCACTTTTTAAAATTATTACATGTACAACATTTTAATGAGTTTTTATTTGAATACAAATGATACAATTAAATTATTATTATTATTATTATTATTATTATTATTATTATTATTATTATTATTATTATTATTATTATTATTATTATTATTATTATTATTTAGATTTGTATACCGCCCTATCTCCCTTACGGGAGAATTAATATAATTAATTCATCCTATTTCCCACAAATTTGTCAATCATGATAGTAAATTATTGTATATATTTAAGAAATATAATGATTTTCAAGCCATATTTATTTATATTGTTTTTTAATGAACAAACTATTTTTATTAACTTATATAGAAATATATTTAGTTAAAACAGTGTAAATGATTAAAAGGCAACAATACAATAGATTCCTCTCATGTCACTTCTTCAACCAATTCCTCTCTTTGGGTAGGGATTAGGTTGAGGATATCAGATCTTCTACCTTCTGACAAATGAAATTGTCAGCAAAAGAAGATAAGAATTTGTTGGACCTCTGATTCTTGGTAGAATTTAAGCTGATATTAGGGTGCTTTCAGGGCCAGTTCCAACTCTGAGAGGAAATCAACAGTGAGCAGCCAGTTCTACAGTTCCCAGATAAACTGCTACCTGAGGAGCTGCAAACAGATGTGAGATAGTGCTGAATTACGAAACAACCTGTTCTCAAAGTTCCAGTTGTCATAGTATCCCCATGGTCATGTAATTGCAATCCCCGGTTTTTGGCACCCAGGTTATGATTATGAAGTTGAAGCATCCCACAGCCATGTGGTCGCCATTTGCAATGTTCTGGTTTCCTATAAGCAAAGTGCAATCGTGTGGGAATGACCTTGAGGGGCAAGGAGAAGAAATATTTCTAGAGCAGTGGTTCTCAACCTTTTTAAGGCCGCGACCCCAACCGGTCGTAAGTCGAGGACTAAACCGGTTGTAAGTCGAGGACTAAACTGGTCGTAAGTTGAGGACTAAACTGGTCGTAAGTTGAGGACTACCCAACCGGTCGTAAGTCGAGGACTTTCCCTGCCCGGGAGCGCCGCACATGCGTGGTTCCGCCCCCTGCGCCGGCCAAGGTGTAGCTGGCAAGCGGCAGAGACGGAGCAGGTCGACCACCAGCTGGCCCAGCCCAAGGGAGGTAAGGCACCCGCCGGAAAAGGGGGAAAAAATGGCGGACAAAAAAAATGGCGGACAAAAAAAGGCGGTCAGCCTTGCTTGGCGACCCCCATGAAATGGTCCATCGACCCCAAATGGGGTCCCGACCCACAGGTTGAGAACCACTGTTCTAGAGAATGATAAGGAGGAGCCCCCAATGGCTTACTGATCAAATACAGAAACTTAGGAAGGATCTGGCCTCATTGGTTAGGCTGTTAAAATGACAATGGGAGATTTGTACTTTCAGACTTGCGACATTCTGTTAATGAAGCCTTAAATAAATTAGAATAGCTCATCTGGTCACGTTTACTGTCTGGTTTACCTGGGAAGACTGACACAAAGTCAGTGGGGAAACCAGCAAGAGATCACAGATGGTGACTATGTGATGACACCTTAATGATGGTGTGAAATTTGCTTAATGAATCACTGGAAAGTGCTGGAGCCACCATCAGTAAGCAATGGGGTCATGTGATGTTACACTTTAGAACCATATCATTTAGTGAGGGAAATTCAAGTCCTAATTGTCATTGTTAACCACGGACTACCTATATATTTTCCAATCCAACAGAATTTTGGAAAGTAATTATATAAGGGGCTTGGCACTTTCTCTTCCTGCCTATCTACAAAATAATGTTCTGGGAACTGTAGAGGAGCAAGCTTGATGTTGGAAGTGGCAGAAGAAAGACCAAATTCAAAAATAAGCTGGATCACAGCTGTGATCTGTGAAGGAAAAAAAAAAATCAGGAAAACTGCCTCCCCAATATATTTTGATGTAAGAAACTGCTGAACAATGACTTGGGATGTTGTTGACTATTCCATTCTAAGCTCCTTTGCATCTTCATTCCCCTCCTGGTGATTTGACACAGAGTAGATATGCACAAATGTGCAGCGGCACAACATATTTTTTTGTTACACAGATAAAAATACACATGACTGTATGATCATTACTGTTTAAGAGTTGGAAAAATTTTCAGAAACTATGCTCTGCATACTTTCTCTACCTTGTTTATTTTAAAGCAGTTGTGAAGGGCTCCAGTACCAAACAGAGCAATGGCATTGTAGAACAGAATTAAAATTCTTTTCAGAAGCCCTATTAATATATATGGAAAATAGTTGTGCAATTAATGTTATTACTACAGTAGAGAACAGAACAGCTGAATGAGTTGCTTCTTTTCTTTATTCCTTTTTTGCTCTTTTTTTTTTTGTAAATAGATCCTGTCAAGCAGCTATAACTGATTTTGGTCCTGCAACTTTACTCTCAGCTGAAATTGATGCTGATCTGCAGAGAATGAAGCTTGAGGCTATTTTTCTTTTCCTGATGGCCTCCTGGCCTTCCTTCCCACTTTATCTACCCGCTGCTTCTATTGCATATGATCCACCCTAAAGGATTATTCAGAGACCTTGGCATGTTATGGTTTATGAGGCACGCTTGATTTAGCAATTAAAGGAACCTGTTCTCCAATATTCTCTGCTTTTCGATCTGAAGGGTTTTTTTAAAGATAAACTTTCCCAAGGTTTTTAATGCCTCTCCCCCCCAAAAAAAACATTTTAGATAGACTGTTTTTTTTTTTTTTTTTACAGAAAATCCAAAATGCTTCCCAACATCATAAGATTCTGGTGTAACTATTATTCTAGTACAGAAATGAGGTGAAGCAATTGATATGAGGCCACAATGCCTGGAGGTAGGGTAACTGGAATGACCTCAAAAATAATACCAGACAGACTAAATACATCACTTCTCCTTGGCTGTTATGTAGTTTTATGTATTTTCAAGTATTTCCCCTGAAGGTTTCCTACAATTTCAATCTTTAAAACAACACATTACACACATCAAAATAGGAAAATAATAATTCTAGGAGGATTTTTTTAGTTTGGATCTGTTGGAAGTATATGTAAAGTGGAAAAACTGATATTATAAAATCAGATGTGTTTGCCTGGCAAGAATACTGGCTTTCATATTGAAGAAACTAAGCATTCTTATTGAAAACGGAGATATTAAATTGACTGTGTTCTTCTGAACTCAGTTGTGATTTTATTAGTTTTTCAAGTTGTAGAAGAGTATCTTTTTGAGTAAACAAACATATTTCTGTGATGTCAAATTACAGTGGCACAGTAATATACCTAAAACTTCTTGAAAAGTTGAGGAACCAAGATTAAAGATAATCATTGGTTGTTAAGCTCTGAATCAACAAAGATAAACTATCCTACTATTTCTGATGGTGCTACCATCATTTCACTACCAAGCTTGGCGATTTCATATTTGTCTATTATTATTTTAGTTTGGGAGAAAATATATGTCAGTAAACAATGGCACAGTTATGGGCACTTACATGGTTTCCTATAAAAACAGCCTGTTGGTAATATGTTATGGGATTCATGGTTGGGGTTTGGGCACTTAGTGTAGCAGTCCCTTGCATAAAATAATGTTATTAATAAAATATGTATATTGTGAATGTTTTTGTGTAATACATTTCAGGATTTCATGTCTATAATTCAAGAGAATATGTCTCTTAACTGCTGGGCAATAATGACAGATATTTTTTTTTAAACCTGGGTTCTGGAGATACTACAGGAAACAGAATGCTGAGTTGGATAACTTCAGCTGACTCTTAAGATCTGATGGTTAAATAAAATGAATTTGTCTGTTTTAATTATGACAGTATAGTCAGAATTACTGATTTTAGAAATAATACTTCTAAGATGTATAGACTGTAATTTTAAGACTTAATTTTTTTTTATCAAGGATTAAGTTCTATAAGATATGTGGTTTATGCTATTATATTAAGAACCTATGTGGATCTTGGACTTTATTTGTTAAATATAATTAAACAAGTTGTTAACCTTAAAAAAACTGTTAAAATTGTATTAATTTAAAACATTGTCATTTAATGTTATTTTTAATGTTCTATAATCATTTATTACATTTCATTTTTAGTGTGAACTTGTCAAGATTACTTTTAAAAAACTGATCACAGTGTTTTCTGCATATTATATGTAGGTAATGTGGGTGTGTAATTCATGCCGAAAGCAACAAGAAATCCTCACAAAATCTGGAGCATGGTTTTATAATAGTGGAACTAACACCCCACAGAAGTCTGATCAAGAGGTTTTTAGAGGACTGCAGAATGAAAAAGCACCTCAGGACAAAAAAACAAAGCTGCAAGAGCAGTCAGCCTTGGAACGAAGTAGATCTCAAGGGATTACAAGGCAAGAGTCCATAAATGGTTCAGGAGGAAAGGTGGTGGGTGACACAGCAGACAGGTAAGGAACTGGCTTGGTTTATTTTTTAAAAAACCAGAGTTGCTATCTTCTTAATATATTCTATTAGCAAGAATTTAAGGATATATTTAACTACTTTCAGGAGTTGGCAGGTCTGTTTTATTAATCAGTATGATGCTGTGAAGCAGGAGTTGGCAACCTTCTTCCACATAGGGGTGAGGCCATGTCTGAGCGTGGATGATGGACCACATTCATCCTTTCAACAAATAAATATATACAATCAGTGCTTTTTTTCTAAAAAAAAAAAAAAGATGCCGGAACTCACACACATCATACAACCCGCCTTGCCTACCCTATAAGGTTCCATCCAAAAAAGGTGCCAGAACTCCGTTCTGGGTGTTCTATGAGAAAAAAAGCCCTATATACAATAATAATAAAACATAATAAATTCTGAATGTTTATTTTATTTAAGTAATATTAAGTCTTAAGGACACAGCAATTAGTATAAGACTTGATGTTGATTGTTGCTCAAGAGTAAGAGGAGAGTAAATCAGGGACAAGTCTAGGCCACTACCACTCCTTCCCTCCCCCCTTCTGCCTCCTTATGGCTGCAGCCCTATTCTCTCCCTCCATTTTCCAAGCAGGTCCAATGTCCTGGTCTTACCTACATTCCACACTCACTGCAACAGAGGGATATGGGGCACCAAAAATTGTGAGGGGGAAACCAGGTGGGTTGGCTGCAACAGTAGTAAATGTAGTTTATTGTTATTACTAGGAATTTATGTGTTTTGGAGTTCATTTGGCAAGTTTCGACCGGCCACTGTAGGTAAGCCTATTCCTCAGCAATGATAACCCAACCACCCTAATTCGTAATCTGGTAACTTTATGAGGGCAATTCGGAAATAAACCTCCGTTTGGTTATCAATGACAGGCATTTGCAGATACAGAACTTTTATTATACACATTAGAAAACTACAACATGACGTTACTTTTTGACATAATCACCATTCAAATTGAGGCACTTGTTATAATGTCTTACAAGGTTTGAAATTCCTTAGCAGTAGTTGCTTGCCGCCAAATCTGGGCTATGGAGGGGGTGATCAAAAACATCCCAACGGAACTGCTTCAAAAGTTCTTGGGTGCATCTAAAGGTGTGCAGGCGAGCATTATTGTGAACCAACACCACACCTGAAGTCAGCACGCCCCAACATTTGTTATGGGTGGTTCGTCTGAGTTTTCGTAACATTTCACAGTAGACTTCTGAATTGATGGTCGAACCACGCTCCACGAACTTCACTAGCAGTACTCCTTTGGCATCTTCACATTTGGCAGGATTTTCTATGGCACCACTTCCGGTGTAGTGTTGGTTCACGATAATGCTCGCCCGCACACCGCTAGATGCACCCAAGAACCTATGACAAGTTGAATGGTGATTATGTCAAAAAGTAATGCAATGTTGTAGTTTTCTAATGTGTATAATAAAACTTCTGTATCTGCGAGTGTCTGTCATTGATAACCAAACAGAGATTTATTTCCAAATTGTCCTCGTATATTGACACAGTAAAAGTGCCCTTGATAGGCTTCACAAACTGCAGCTGGTGTAAAATGTAGTGATGAAATTGCTGTATGGAAATGTTACAGGTGAAGTTTAGTTCCCTTAGTAGCTTGGACCTTCATATTTAAACCTTCGATCAGATATAAAGATCTATTAAAGGGGCTTTCCTCCCATAGTCAGAAGTGATACATTATGTGTAAACACTTGATCTTTTCATTTAGAGCTCGCTAGTTATGAAATATCTCTGAAAGGATGGGTGGTGCTAACATTGGCTTTTATTTCACTGTCAAGATCTGCCTATTTATCATATTTGGCGTAAAAAAACCCATTAGATGAAAGTGGCCATGTGATATTTTCATGGTTCTGTTAGTTTGGTAGTATGAATAGTCTGTGCGAAATAAGTTGTAAACCTACTCTTTCGGTGCCATCATAACAGAATGATTTTGAACAAATTAGTAAGTTAGGGCTAACCTGTGTATTTTGGGATAGAAATATTATATAAGAACTCTTGTTATTACAAAGTTATTCAGGTCATCTTTCTCCAAGAGTGCAAGAGGGTCTTCTCTCTGAGCTATGAACAGAACCTGCGCAAGAGCTGTGTTTACACTCTTTAGAATCTAAAGTCAAACAAACAAATAAAAAATTGATTTGCCTTTAAGGCCAAAAGTAGAACAAAAAAGCTTAAATTTATACTTCAGCACAATAGACTGAAGAACAAGTTACTTTTATTTGTTGATTGCATCAAATTAACTCTATTATTATAACTCTATTATATTATTATTAAATGCCTTACCCTCTTACTGTCTTTCATCAGGATTTTAATGCTTTATTATTTCATTGTTTTCTTTTTTAATTTTGAAATTTTTTGAGTACTTCCTAGGTATTCAATAAAGAAATGAACATACATTATCAGGCATGACAAAAATTTAATGTGTAGTAGCACCTTTTCCAACTAACACTTTTTATTAAGCTTTCATGAGCTTTAGCTTACGGTTTATTTCATGAGATGTACAGAGTGGCTAGACTGATGTAGGATGGGATGGGAAAAGTTGAGGAAATGGGAGGGGACGATAGTTTGGTTATGCAGATTATATGTACCTTATCTATTAACAGTTGTAAAAAATTGTAAAATGTGTAAAAAAAACCCATTGTATTCATTGAGATCTGAGTTTGCATGAAACCTTTTGATGCATGTGAGTTCAGAAATTTATCACTAGATGGTGCTCTTAAAATTCAATTATTTCAAAACAGCCACTTTGCAGTCTTTCATGAAGTGTCCTGGGAAATTGAAATGGTCTGATATTACTTTACTCTTGTTTTAAGTCCTATTTGGTCTACTCTGAGGTTTGCCCTAACAAACACAAGATTAGAAGTGCCTTTACATGCTCTTCCTACAATTTAATGTATGCAATTATCTGCCAGCATTGACCCTCTGGATTTTATATAGGACAAATGAATTGTTCCAAAAAATTAATGGACTCATTTGACATTAAGACTGAGTGTAATAAACTGATATCTTACTCCAGGGTTTCAGGCAACTTCTAGTGGATTAATGCAGGCATCGTATTAAACTACCTGGATATCTTTGATAAAGTTTATAAAACCACTTATCTGATACTACTGAGACAAAAAACTGGAACCATTGAAAAATAATGTCTTCAAAGCTCAAGCCTATCCAATATATTCTATGACTTTTAAATAAGTCTTTCTATCTATCTGTATGTCCATTAAGGGGGGTGGTGTAAAAGAAAATTAATAACAGTGCACTCCCCCCACTTCTCATGAAACCTATTTAAATTTCAAAGTGATTTTGTATCAAGAAAAGAATTATTTAATGTTACACCTACTTCCTTTAAATAAGAAGGAATAGGTATCTCCTATTAGGAGACATTAACTACTAGTACCACTCTGAACTTGTTTAATGCTGGTTAATTTGTTCCTAGTTATTTTTTCCCCAGTTATCACTCTTAGTTTATGCCAGGCATGCTACCTTATCTAACTCTATTGCAATGCTAATAGCTCCATATAATTTCCACTGGGATTCTGTGGACCTTCAGATAGAGAGTAGTTCTTCTGAAAAAAAAAAAAGATATTTTGTGACTGGCCATATCTAACCCAGCTGCCCTTTACAGAACAGTCACTTTGTTTCTGCTCTTTAATCTGCTCTCAAAGTTAAACAAGTAATCCAACACAAAAATATTGCTTACTTTTGTTTTAGTATTATAGTGGAAAGGAGGTCTCTTAAAAAATGAGAAGAAACAGGAAAAACACTGGAATGCAGTGACTTTTAGCAGTGGTGCCTATATAAATGATTTTCAATCAGGATTCAAGCCTGATTTTGGAACTGAGATACCCGTGATTGCACTTGTCAATTTCTGGTGGAATTGTGTGGTGACTGGACTCTACTTGATTTCTCAGTGACCTCAAAGTGTTAAGATGGATTAAGAAACACACTCCCAGATGTTAACCCGTTCCTTCACTTCAGTAATAAATATGACTTATGTTCTGCCTAGACTGCACTTTCCAAAGCCCCCAATTAGTGGATTCCTATTTCTGTAATCCTTAAGCACTTCCCTTTAAATGGATGGACTTTTGAGGATGCCACTTCCACTGAGTAACCTTTTATATAATTTGTCCTCCATTGACCTGTCATCATAATAAACACCTCTTGTATGCTAATTGGTGGAGAGGCAGAAGAGGAGGATGAGGAGGAGGAGGAGGAGGAGGAGGAGGAGGAGGCATATAGTCGTGAACTGAAGTGGATATATTTGCTTTCAGTGACATGAGGTGCAGCAGAACTGGATAGCATTGCTTGTGCCAGCACAAATTATAAAACACTACTTTTAACATTTAGCATGGACGAGGCAGAGATTGCCTTCCTGGTGGACTGGGGGCAGGCAGACAGTGGTGCTGGGTGGTCTGTACTCATGCTGCAGAATCTGTACTCATGCAGATCAGACCTGAGTGAAAAGGAAAGAAAACAGAGGACAAAAAATCCCTTTTACTTATTCTATACGTCTGTCCCTTTCAGCAAGATCGTTCCTCTCATTATATAACATCCACTTTGCTAATGCTCAAGCATCACCTCTATCCCTTTCCCTAACCTACCCTTAGAGCAGGGATGTCAAACTTGCAACGTCACGTGACGTGTTGTGACGTATCGTGAACTTTTTTTCCATTGCCGGCAATGGGGTGGGGGCAGTTTTGCCATGACGCATCCGGCCTGCAGGCCGGCAGTTTGACACCCCTGCCCTAAAGGGAAAGAAACAAGTTGCCAGAAGAAAAACCCACTCTTAACCCATTGCAAGACAAACAAACCTTTAATGAGAGAGAAAAGTAACAACAAAGAAGCCAGCTGTTTCTTATCATAGCTACCTTAGTAGGGGCATAAACCAATGTAGGAAGTAGGAGAAGTGAAACATATATAAATGCACATCTCTGATATTTGGGACACGAAAGAACTTGCAAATAGGACAGTTGATCCTTA